AAGACAGAAAGAAAACAAAAGGTCTAAGAAGAATACAGACAGCCATACCCAGGGGTTTGCAAATCCCTGTGATAACACTTTCTTTTTTTGAAAGCAGAAAAAGTAAAATGTGTCTACTCTTTCTGATTAGAAGATAAAATCCTAGTGTTTAGCCAAGGTCGGTTCTCCCCCTTAATCCCAGGAGGCTGACACACAAGATCCCCAGTCCAAGGTCGAGGGCAGGGTCTTGTCATGAGGAATTCTACTCGTCGACCCACAGCCAAGAGACACATCTATCCTGCTTCTAAATCAAATTCCTCCCTCCTCTCCTCTCCAAAACCCTTTCATCCAAGAATTCTTTTAAAAAGAAAAGATGTAATTTTTACGAAGTGTGCAGGAGTCTAATGTGCACCATAAGGACGCGTGTTTTCTGGGAAGCCCAAAGTCAGGACGGATCTCCTGGAATTGGAGCTACAGAGAATGGCCCAACCTGGGTGCTGGGAACCGAACCTCGGCACCCACTGCAACAGCAAGGTCTCTTAGCAACTGCGCCATGTCTCCAGCACCAAGGATTCTTTTTTAAAAACCCTAATTTGCAGCCCCAAAAGATTTTACCTGCCTTAAAACAATAACAAAAACCAAACAACCAAAACCACTCTTCTTAGGACTCCCGCCTCTTCAGTGCCTCTGTAGGGCTCCGCACTGTGTGCCTCAACTCTTTGGATCGCAAAGTCTTGGCCAGAAGCCCCTCTCTCTCGACGACCGCATAGCTGCTCTTCACACCCCAGTACCCCAGGCTCTCCACCGTTCTCCACCTCCAACGCAATCCCGTCTCACAGCACGCGGAACGCAGCGTTCCTCCAGTCCCACCCGCAGCTCTCAGCAGGGGACATTTTCCGCCCCGGGCTCGCACAGGCCCCGCCTCCTGCACCCACACCTCCCCAGCTCCCACCCACTCGTCTCAAGTTTCAAGAGCTCCGGGTCCAGCGCCCTCCGCCCTCTCCTCGGGTCCGCTCGGCCGCCGCCCCTGCGCAGCGGCTCTCTCTCGGGTCCTTCCCCCAGCCCAGAGTGACAGGTCCTCCCCTAGAGCCCCCTCTCCCCTGCCCAAGCTCCCGTACACTCGCATGCACGCTCGCATGCACACACGCATGCACGCACTCATGCACACTCGCATGCACGCTCTCATGCACACCTGCTGGCCCTCGCTCGCGCGCTCCTCGCACGCCTCCACCCGGGACCTCACCTGCACTCCGGAGCGAACCTCCTTCCCGGCGCGCCCACCCCTCCACCCGCCCGCGCGGACTTCCGCGCGCGCGCGCGCGCCTGTTCTCCCTCCCTCTCCCTCCCGCGCGCGCACCACACACGCACGCACACTTCTTCCCACACGCGCGTGCCTCTCTCGCCGGTGCACGCACCTCCACACACGCGCGCACCTGCCCTCCCCAGCCGCGCAGCACTCCCCCGCGCGGGGCCCGAGGCGGCTGTCGAAGCGACGGCGCCCAGCCGTTACCTCGCTCCCTGCGCTCCAAAAACTCGGCGGCCTCCAGCAGGCGCTGCACGTTGATCATCCGCACCCGCTCCATGGGCTCCGCGTTCCCGCCCCCGGCCAACAGGAGGCGCCACAGACGGCTACAGTCCCACGACGCCCCGGGACATGTGCGGCGGGCGGGCGGGCCAGCTCGGCCCCGGCTCGGCGCGCTCTCCGCCGCCCCAGCCGTGCCCGCCGCGCCCGCCGCGCTGCCTGCAGCCCGCGCGCGGTTTGTTTACTTCTCCGCGCGAGCACGGGGGAGGGACCCGCGCAGCGGCGAGGACCGCCCCCTCCGCCCGCCCCTTCCGATGCCCCCTGGGAAATGTAGTCCAGCCCCCCCCCGCCACCGCACGTCAGGAGTCTAGGGACACGGGTCGCCTCAGTGCGCCTGCGCATGGAGCACTCCGCGGTGTCCTCTGGGAGATGTAGTCTCTCCTTGGCTTTCGTTTTTCTCGTTCAAGGATGGAGAGACTTAAGAACTTTGACTTTGCTTCTAAGGAAAAAAAAGAGTTGGTTGCGTTTTGGGTCCGCTCCCAGGGAGGCTCATGTCTTAGCTGGTGCTCAGGGCCTAGAGAGTTCATTATTGAACTGAATCTGTCCTCTATCTAGCGCTTTCTCCTTCTACTCCACTGTCCCGGTTCCCTCACCACCAACAGAGGAAAGTAGCATATCTGTAAGGCCTGAGTCACAGATGCACATGAGAAGCAAAACCATGAGATCATTTAATGAGAGCCAGAGAGAACGTCCATGCGCTCCTGATCACCCCCCCCCATCGGCTGCGACACTTGACAAAACGGTTTTCTAACCTCTTTTCTTTTTGTCTCATTAGTGTTTTTTTTTTTTTTTTTTTTTGACAGAAAACCTGTTCTGGTGCTACAAAGAAAGGACACAAAGATTTGGCATTGGAATCATACTGATCTCAGCCCCAGTATAAAAATGGGTTTAATTCATCCATTTATGCATGGCATTGAGGCCAAAAGTGTGCCAGGCACTGAACCAGACTTTACTTACATGGTACTGAGGGAAACAGACACGGAGTTTGTTCCCAGGAAACATACATACTTAGTAAGCTTCATCGTGAAGGCTAAATGGAATAGTTCCATCATTAGGTACATTCTAGGTGCTCAGTAGATGGAAGCTATGATGATGATTGCTCCTCCCAGGCTCCCCTCTCTTGAAAGGTAACTGACAACAGAAACTTTAAAAAGTAGGAAGAGCCGGACGGGTGGTGGCCCACGACTTTAATCCCAGCACTCAGAAGGTCATCTTGGTCTACAGAGACAGTTCCAGAGCAGCCAGGGATACACAGAGAAACCCTGTCTCAAAACAACCAAAAAGAAACAGAGTAACAGCAGAGAGAGCACACTGAAAAGCAGCCACTCACTGCTCTTAGCCTCCGCGCTTTTCCAAGTCCTTCGTCTAAGGGATGTCACAGCCGTGGCATCACTGGCACTTTGGGCCTGATGGCTCCTCCTGGGAGCCCAGGTCTGTTCCCTTTGTCCGATGCCAGCAGCATCCCTAGCCCTTACCCACTAGATGCCGGTAGCACGGTATCACTCCTTGGGCATGACAACCAAAAATGCCTCCAGATATTGCCACTTGTCCCCTGAGACACAAAGCCACACCAGCTGAGAACTCTGGGGGGGGGGGGGGGGGGAGACAAGATGGGGCAGTGCTGCATGCTCTAGAAGCTGGGAGCTGGGAAAACCATCCACAACCTGTCTCCCTCTGATTACGTTCACCTGCTCCTCTTGGTGAAGAGGCAATGCCCCTCCCCTTGTGGTCATGTTATGATACTTCAAAAAATACATCTTGAGATGGATCGCTTGCCCACTCAAAAACATTACTGGTTTTGTGCTGCATTTTAATGCCCTCCCCTCCTCTCTGCTCCTCCTCCTCCCCCCCCCCCCCCTTCTTCATTAGCAGTATTTCCAGTGAGGTCACAGGCCCGTTTAAATATTACACTTGGCACAACATTTAAGAAATAGATGTTCGTCAAATTCAGGGAGACCCAAAAGTGTTCACAAGCCACAGTGGGGGCAGAGGGACGTTTCTAGACTTTAAAGAAGGGCTTGTGCTTTTTCAGCTGTGGGATGGGTCACACGGATTTTCCCATTGCGTATTGGCAACAACCGCCCTTCATCCCCAGCCAAGGACATTACTGGATAGACTAGGAAGAAATTCACTCTGCCAGGTGGGGCGGCTCACACTTTTACTCCCAGCACCCAAGGAGGCAGAGGCAGGCAGATTTCTATGAGTTGGAGGCCAGCCTGGTCTCCAGAGCAAGTTCCAGGCAGCCAGGATTACATAGGGAGAACCTGTCTCAAAAACAAATAAACGTCATTCACTCAGAACACCTGTTAGTTGAAAATTAAAAAAAAAAAAAAAGGTAAAGCTATCGGCCAGGTCAGGTGGCGCAAGCCTATAAATCCAGCCTCTAGGACGGCAGAGTTATACTGTGAGAGTGTCTCTGGGGTGGGGGGGAGAGAAAAGAAAGATTGTAAGTTTAAAAGTTCACTTTATTTCTTGGTTTTTAGAGACAGGGTTTCTCTGTGTTGCCCTAACTGTCCTGAGCTATCTCTGTAGGCCAGGCTGGCCTCGAACTCACAGAGATCCGCCTGCCTCTGCCTCCCGAGTGCCGGGATCAAAGGCAAGCGCCACCAAGGCCCCTTTACCACTTGCAGTTTTCAACTTAAAGTTCTGCCCTTAACGTGTCAACTCCAAATTAAGTGGTGGTCTACCACTGTACCCAGTGACAGACAGGTAAGCCGGTGCAGCCTGCAATCATGATATGTGGTTAAGGACTGAAAATATCCATACACTGAAAATGGCTTTGATCCCATGGCTTAAATTATAAAGCCTAAGGAAGGTTAGTGGAAAAAAGGCTGGATAGCTGTCACAGTCGACCTAGAGTGCTGGCCACAAGGCTGATGAGGAGATGGAAAGCCACTCAAGAGTCACCGCCTGCTCATGTGAAGGGGCACTGGCGAAGGCGACAGCCTTTTCCATTGGCAACCAGCGAGGCCGCTATCCACGCCCCTCACTCACCCTCAGCTCCCGTGTTAGCCAGGGGCGAGCCCTGAGGCAGCCACGGCTTTGCTTCCCTCCGAGGAAGCCAATTTGCACTACAAATACGGTTGGGGAAACAGGGAAGCTAGAGTTCTACAGATACAAGAACTGAGGTGTTCCCCGTCTCTGGGTCCATCCACCTCTTACTAAAGAAAGTCAGTCTGTCAGTCTTTTGTGTTTCCTCCCCCTCTACCCCTATCTCCTTCTCTCCCCTCCCTCTCCGTTTGAAAACACCAAAAATCCCCCAGCTCAAGCACAAAGGAGGACGGGGGGGGGGGATCTGCCTCTGGAGAAGCAGGCCAAGCTCTCCGTCCGCTTTTGGGGTCTTTCCTGCCCCTCCACTCCCCGAGTGCAGTTGAGTGGGTGCCAGTTCCCGAGTGATCTGCTGCGAACTCATACATGGAGGCTGATTAGCATACAGTCCCGGCAGACAGGTGAGACGGAGAAAGGAGGAAAAGTCCGCGGAGTTCAGTTACCAGTCCGCTGTCATTGTTGCTGGGGACACTGGGGTTGTTCGGTTCCGAATATGCAAAATTGCTTACTTGTGTATGCGCAGTTTTCGGCAATTATTTGTAAGGCTTTCAGATAACCAGGGTCTGGACAGGGGAGCATGAATTCCGAGGTCCTGGCTATCAACCGCATTAGCAGTTGTCCATTTTTTCCCACACACAAACACATGAAGGCAGCAGCCTCCTCTTCCTCCGGGCTCCAGAAACGTGAAGAGCTACAGAAACCCTTGGCTCTGCCCAGTGAGTCAGCCCTGTCTAACTTGGTGCGTAAGCTCTCAAGTCGGCGACAGCTCGGAGCTGCGGGGCTGTGAGCAGCCGAGATAAATTTGGGTCTAAAGGAATGACGTAATGGCTGCCGTCTCCCAGGGCTCCGGTCGCCAGGACTGCCGGCTGACTTCCCAACCACATGGAAACGCACCAAGCGACCCAGGTGCCCAGGCTGGGGAGAAAGGGAGAGGACGGGGAGGCGGGTGGTGGTTAATCCCAGATCGCTGAATCTGGAAGTTTGTTGTTTTTAACTCCAGTTTTTCTGGCAAAGGCTCAAACAGCTGCACTTGACATCCATCCTGACCCATCTCTTGCCTTAAAAAGGGGCTTTTTTGCATTTTATTAAACGACCCTTATTATGGCTACCTATTTCGGTGATTATAGTGGTGTACTAGACTCTCAAATTTCTCTCTCTCTCTCTCTCTCTCTCTCTCTCTCTCTCTCTCTCTCTCTCTCTCTCTCTCCCTCCCTCCCTCCCTCCCTCCCTCCCTCCCTCCCTCCCTCCCTCCCTTCCCCTCCCTTCCCCTTCCTCCCATGAACTTGGATTCAAGAAGTCTGCATTGCAGGATTCAGCTAATGAGCACTTCTAAGATTGCTCACCCCAGAAAACACACCTGAAACATGACCCCGGTGGGGGCCACCATGGGGTGGGGTGGGGGGGCTAAGGAATTCATAAGGGCTTTGGTAGATTGATGCCAAGTGAATGCTCCCCCAAAATGTTTCATAGTTTGTGTCCTGGAAGCTTCTGTCACTAAACTGACTTCTCAGCCCAAGGGTCCATTTTTTTTTCCAGAGCATCCAGGTTCAGAGAAGTATGCCAGCATGCCAAAAGCCACACAGCTGACATACTGATGGAGAAAGGGTTGAGACCTAGACCTTAAGCTGTACACTCCCTTCTCATCTCCAGAATTTTCTTTTCTGATCGACTCGTGTTCAAAGGAAAGAAAAGGGGATACTCTCTCTCTCTCTCTCTCTCTCCCTCCCTCCCTCCCTCCCTCCCTCCCTCCCTCCCTCCCTCCCTCCCTCCCTCTCTCTGTTTTCAGATCTTTTAGCCCCGTGGGGTCCCAACCTGTAAATGTCACGATTACATTACATTCTTAAAGGACCCGGAAGCAACCCAAATCTGCTTTATCTTTCTGCTCAAGATTCATTTTTTTTCCTAAAGAAAAAGTCGCCCGCCAGGTGCTTCCCACCGGTGATGACGGCAAGCCTCAGCCCCAACCTCAGGGCCCACTCTCACAGTGGTACACCCCCTCCCGGTCCCTGCTGCATGACACAGCTGCCTTCCTTTGGAGTGCCCCTGAGTCCTTCACCATGGTGGCTATGCCCATACATAATCTCCTGCGATTTGTTTTTGTAGTCATTTAGGCTTGTAGACATCATGATGTCACCGATGCCTGTGCAAATGACCTGGTCAACCCATGGGATGTTTTCTTTTTTCAGAGCCTTGCTGAAACCTGTAATTTGTTTTATTTAGAATGTTTTCACTTATATATTCAAGAACAGGAATAAACTAGAAAAGGCTGGGTGTGGTTCGGAAATGATAGCTTGCCTAACCTTCTCAAGATCCTGTACTCAATCGCTAACACCAGGAAGATAAACAAACAAGTAAATAGTGATTTTTTTGTCTTGTTTTAAGACAGAGTCTAATATAGCCGAGGCTAGCCTCAAACTCATTATGTATCCAAGGATGACCTTGAACTCCTTGATCCTACTGCCTCCACCTCCCCAAGTTCTGGGACTACAGGCATATGCCACCATTCCAGGCTAACTCATTTTTCAGGTTTTGCTAGTACAAAGACCCTCCCCCTTGTTCTTTAAAATTAACTTCCTACTAGTGTGTGTGTATGTGTGTGTGTGTGTGTGTGAGTGTGTCCACTCTCGTGCATGTGAGTCACAACCATTCAGAAGTCAGAGGACTTTGCATGTCCGGCCCTGTCACTCTCTGCTGTCTCTTTCTGAGATGAGAACCTGGAACTTGCTGTTTTTCAGCCGAGCTGAATGGCCTGTCTCTTCCTGCAGGTGCCCCGTGCTGGAGTTGCAACCATGCAGACTCTTTATGAGTGTTGGGGATCCCAAGGAACCCTGGTTCTGCAGCAGGCCTTACCTACTGACTATCCCTGCCCCAGTTAGAAGCAACTTGATTTTAAAGCCTTTAAAAACAATAAATAAATGAAATAAAACAATAGAAAGAGCTGAGTGTCTTGGGACGCACTTCCAATTCCACAATTAATTCCGGAAGGCAGAAGCAGGCATATCTCTATGAATCTGAAGCCAGCCTGGCCTACAGAGCAGTTCCAGGTCAGGAGGGCTACGTAGTGAGGCCCTGTCTCAAACAAAACCAAACTAAAACTAAACACTAAAATATCTGCCAGAGGCCAACCTCACTCCTAAAACTGGGCCTCGAGTTCTTGCCAAGGCCCCAGGTGCGGTCACTCTCCTTTCCTCTATGAGAGTCTAGCCTGGAGCGGCCCTTCCTCCTGTACTCTGGTGACAGCACCACCCGTTTCCCAATGGCACTGACTGGTGAGGAGTCCAAACAGTTCCCAGCAGGCCCTGGGCACTAAGTCACACGTCTACCCCTTCTGCTTCAGGCCTTTGGGCTCGACCTCAGGTACAGCATTTACAATAAAAAACACAGGCTCGCCGGGCAGTGGTGGCGCACGCCTTTAATCCCAGCACTCGGGAGGCAGAGGCAGGCAGATCTCTGTGAGTTCAAGGCCAGGCTGGACCAACAGCCTCCAAAACAATACAGAGAAACCCTGTCTCGTAAAACCAAAAAAACAAACAAACAAACAAACCCCCCCCAAAAAAACAGGCTCTTGCTCATCTGATGTATGGGTGAGGTCACCTTGCCCCATCCAAGCTCCAACCTTGATACTAGGAGTCTCTCAATAGAGCCTAGAACAAAATGAATCCATTTACCAACTTGCTGCCATGTAACTGCGTCCTGTTCTCCTGATGTGTAGAGACGCCATGGCCACGGCAACTCTTTTTTTTTTAAATAATTTATTTTTATTGTATGTGCATTGGTGTTTTTGTCTGTGTGAGGGTGTCAGATTTTGGAGTTACAGACAGTTGTGAGCTGTCATGTGGGTGTTGGGAATTGAACCCAGGGCCTCTGGAAGAGTAGTCAGAGCTCTTAACCACTGAGCCACCTCTCCAGCCCCCGCCACGGCAACTCCTATTTAGGAAAGCGTTTCATGGGAGTTAGCATTCAGTCTCAGAGGTTTAACCCATTACCGTCATGGCTGTGTGCAGGCAGATAGGATGCTGGAGAGGTAGCCCAGAGCTCTAACAGCCACATCCGCAGGCAGCAGGAAAAGTCAGTGACATCAGGCTTGGCTTGAGCATTTGAAACCTCAAAGCCCACCCCCCAGTGACAGGCTTCCTCCAGCAAGGCCAAGTGTCCTAATCTTTTCAAATAACTGCACTGTGGGGGCCATTTTCACCCACACCATCACAAACTGCACACACCAAGGTGCTTCTCCGGTCAGCTCATTTAACGCTCAGCGCATCTCTGAGACTCCTGTGGTACACATAGGCAGTGACTAGATTCAAGGCTGGATCTTCTGGAACACCCCTCAACCCCAACACACACAGACACACAGACACACACATCTGGCCAGGCAAAATTAGTTAGGTCTATGGTCTCAATCTAAGGAGGTTGAATTAGGTCTCAATTTATTCCTCTAGGTGGCATTGGGAATGTGTTAGAATGGGATTTCCATGGTATTTAGTGGCGGGAACCAAGGGTGCTAAATCCTGCAATATTCTAGACTATTCTGCACTTCTGTCTAAATAATAGTTCTCAGTTTTTGGTTTGTTTTGTGGCTTTTTCTCCAGACAAGGTCTCACTCTATGGCCAAGGTTATCCTAAAAGTTGCCATGTATCCCAGCCTATCCTTAAATCTAAAATTCTCCTGCCTCAGTCTCCCCAGTGCTGGGATTATAGCTGTGGACCATCCTGGCTGATGCACGAGTGTTCTTGTTCAAAGCTAGCTCAGAAAACTCACCATTCATTCAGCAGGTATCCCCTGATTAGCCACTGCGTGCTAAGCACTGATGAGCAAAACAGCTTGCTCCAAGATCTCCTCAGGGGGCTTACAGTCTAGCCATACAGACTAGGATGAGCAAGTCAAACTGTAAATCACAGTAAGTGGGTTAAGGGTTAAATGACGAAGAACCATGGAAAAGGCAGATTCTGACTTAGCAGATGGGACGGAGCCTGGGAAGCCAGGATTCCTGTAGGAGGCAAGATGGCCTGTCCTGGAGACCGCTGCACTCAGAAAAGCAAAGAGTTTGGGTTTTATCCTCAGTGAGGCAGGAAATAAGCTGCGGAAGGACTTTCAACGAGTGAGTGACGCGAACCTGGTTACTTTTAGCACCACTCCTGTTTCTAGGGCTCTACGCAGGACAGGAGGAGGTCGGGCCTAAGCTGTCTGACGGGAACCAGCTGGTCCGCACTGTCCGCTGCACCGCCCGGCAGCAACTGCCACCTGAAGCTCATCTCACAGATTCACCCTGCCTTTCTGCTTCGCCTTCTCTGCGGAAGCCCTTGGCACCAAGCACCCGCCAGCCCAGTTGTCTTACAAGCTGGGGCGTCCCAGGAAGTCTTGGAGTCTGACAGGGTGTGGGTGCACAGCCCTGCTGGTCAGCACCCCAGGTGTCCTACTGGTCGGGTGAGTTTCTCAGAGGGTGCCAGCAAGGTGGCATAGGCAGGCAACACTACCCCAGACTGCGAGTCTCCAGGGAATGGCTTCTGGGTCAATGCTGGAAAAACCCCTGGCAGCTTCTGGCTGCTTCTCTCCATTCTAGGGTAAATGAGGAGAAAAGGAAGCCACTCAAGGGACATCCCTTCCGGAAGCCTTCAACCTGTACCACAAACATTCCAGACTCCATTTCTTGCCACTTGCTAACTCCGGGCTCCCCGAGGCTCTTCGAAACCCCCCTAAGGAAGAACAGTGGGTTTAAGTGCCAGACCCACTACTGTTAGCATTCGGGCTTGGGAAAGCGAGCCAGCCTTGCTAAGGCTGGAGCTCTGGGCAGATACAAAAGTGAAGGTAATTACAGCGCCTGCTCATTGGAGGTTTGTGGGGATTTACTATAGAGCGTCTAGCAGTGCAGGGGGCATTAGCCAGTGCAGGGGGCACTAGCCAGTGCAGGGGGCATTAGCCAGTGCAGGGGGCATTAGCCAGTGCAGGGGGCACTAGCACCATTCCTCCGGAGAACAGGGAGGAGGCTGCACTTGCCAACAGCTCTCCTGGGGACGGGTTATCAGACTCCCAGGAGACAGGCATTGGGCATTGGTTTCTATTTGGCTGACACTTGAATTGGAATATGCACCTGACCTAGAGACCGGACACCTTTCACTCTCAGAACACCAAGCACAGAGTTTGGCTCCTGGACGCTGGACGTGTTTCTTTTTGCACGGAGCTAAGTTTCATGGCTGTCAAAAAGGATGAAGGAAAGTTGTGCCCAGGGCACTCAGAATTTAAGGGACTAGGAAACATGGCAGGGACAGTCAGGCTGCTGTGGGAGCCATTGCGTAGCTCCGGTCCCTGTAGAGATAAAAACAAGGACAACACCGGCTCCTGTTTGCCACCCACGGCTGGAAGTTACATAGCCCTCTACTTCAATACAATGGCCTGTCTATGAGAACTCCCAAATCGTCTTCATTCCTGTGTCCCTGTAATGACAGTAAATATACAAAGTAAAACATTTCAAATACTAGATAGTCCAAGTCTCTCCTCTTTGGTTTCAATTAGACTCTCCTAATCGTGTCCTCCCTCGGGACAGCGTGTTTATCTTTTAAATTCTGCTGAGCTTCAGTTCCTTGGGAGTCACTGGGAACTGTGTGGCTAAGGGCATGCTATCTGAGCAGTGGGCTGGGTATTGTGACCTGGTGGAAACCATCCTCCAAATGCACAGAGGCCCATTAGAGCTGGTGAAGCTAGACGTACAGACACAAATACATAAAGCTTTCTAAGTGTTAAACTGGGGGCTAGGGTGCAGCATTGTGCAGGGGTGGGCAGCAGGGAGGAAGGACTCCCCCTGCCCCGCCTCTTGACAGGGTTTCTCTGTGTCGCCCTGGCTGTCCTGGAACTCTCTCTCTCTCTCTGTAGACCAGGCTAGCCTCGAACTCAGAGATCGGATTGCTTCTGCCTCCCAAATTCTGGGATTAAAGTTGTGTGCCACCACACCTGACTGGGACACCTTTTAGAACCTCAGGATGAGTTTTTATTCTGTCCATAATGGGGGATAGGGCCGAATGCAGAAATATCAAGTCAGATACTGTACCCACTGCTGGGATTCACTTTGAGATGGCTGAATTTCTGAACTCAGCTGGTGGAGTGCTTGTCTACTATGCACGAAGCCTGTGTCTGAACCTCAGCAACCACAAACCAGACAAGGTGGTGCAGGTCTATCAGAGGTTCAAGGTCAACTCCAGGCACATAGTGAGTCAACTCCAGACACATAGTGAGTTTCATGGCTAGCCTGGGCTACATGAGACTCTCAAAAGAAAAAAAGTAACTAAATTTTATAATCCTGACATTGAAATAGAGTACTAACCTAGCACCGAGTAACAGTTTAACAAGTAAATGAACTAATGCACATAGATGACTTAGGGATATTCCTGGTCCACAATGTAACTCACTGTCTATTCCAAAAGCCTTTAAGTGGTGGTGGCGCCCTCCCTTAATCCCAGTACTCTGGAGGTAGAGGCAGGTAGATCTCTGCGAGTTCCAGGCCCGCCTGGTCTACAGAGTTGAGTGCAAATAAAATGAAAGCCTTTAAGAGTGATTTCTTCTGGCCTGAAGTATTTGGAAAGGGACTCTGTTTGTATGTGTTTCCTGGAGACTGGTTACTTAAAGAAAGAGTCACCTGAACTTTCAAAATGTTTCACAAATGAGGGGCCCAGCACAGGATCCCGCCACGACGAGGAAGCACAGGCAGTTTCTCGCTCAGGACCGCAGTGGCAGGTGCCCCCAGTGGTCTGAGCCATTTCCCTCTCCTCTCTCCCCACTTCTTTCTCTTCCCCCACACCCCCTCACTTCCCCTCGGGAAGACCTGAATCTTCTTCCTTCAGTTAAAGTCTTAGGATGGCCATCACTGTCCACACCCTGTCTCCTTCCCCTCCAACCCCCATCTCGGAGAGAAAATATTTTTCTTAGTACAGCAAAGTCAAATTAGCTTCATTTTGAAAGACTACTGAGCATGTTGCAATGACCTTTGCAATAACCAGACACACCCTGAGCTCAGTAAGCCAGGCCTGGGTTTACGAGCGCCTGACCTGTAAAACAAAAGTTGTTTGGGGCTCCGTATCTATGACCCATTCTCCCGTCACACAGACAAGATCATGGCGCAGAAAGGCTTCCCTCTGCCTCTGCTGTGTCCCTGTGGGCACGCCACTGTCCCTCTCCGGACCTCTGCCCCCTTGTGAGTGCTCTGGGGCTCTCTGTGGTCCTGTTTCACCACCTGCCTCCTTTAAACGCGGAGCCGTTGGAAAATGGAGGGGAGAAAGAATGGGATTCCTGCCCCCTGAAGCCCACTTGCCTCGTCCTCGCTCTGCAGAACGTCTCATTTCTTACCCGGTCTCCCTTAGAGAAAAAGAAACTGAAAGGCCACAAAAACCACAACTCACCTCCCCCCCAAAAACGGGTCACTTGGAAGCCAGGGCTATGTGGGGCTAGGTGGGTCAGGCCTGCTGCGCTGGGATCTAAGTGAAGACCAAGCCAGGGCAAGCATGTGCGTCTCGTCCAGAAACCCAGTTTAAATCAATATTTATCCAACTGTATTTATAGAAAGTGGTGGTGGTAGGAACAGGGAGTGGGGGGGGGGCAGTCAGGGGGATCTAAAACAAAACAAAACAAAACAAAAAGCCACAGTGACTGATGGCAAATCTTAATCTTTGTGGCCAATCTGCTTCTTTAGGGCCTGCCCTTCCCACCCCTTTTTTTTTTTGGCAAAAGATTTAGCATTTGATGAACCTGTAGTTGGCTTCAGTACCATAGCAACAGCCCTAAGTCCTCTAATATGCCCAGAGGACAGACTTGGGACAGGCAGCAGGAGGGGGTAAGTGTTTCCTAGGAACCCTGAACCGAACTTGAGTTAAGGCCAGGATAGTTGAATAACTAAGAACTGGAAGAAAAAAAAAACCCTCTTTGACTGGCTCCTCAGTCTCGAGTCTCTCTTTTCTAAACAGGAAGACTTTGGGAAACCAGCAGGGTGTTCCAGATACCAGCTCCACTTCACGGCGTTGGGCGACCTTAGGCAAGTCACGTCACCTGTCTGGACGTCATTCCTCGGCTGTAAAATGAGTACACGTGTGTGCGGAGAAGGTACACGGGACCTGGAGCCAGAGGCCGGGATGGCAAGTTTAGCTCCCGGCACCGACCACGTGACCTTCGGGGAAGTTACCCAGCATCCCTGCTCCTGGGTCCCTCAACCCCCACTGCAAAGGAGAGGTAATAAAACTGCACGTGCTGTAGGGTGGCTGTGGACTGGAAAAAGATAAGACCAGGCTAGTCTCACGCTAACCACTTTCGGCATCCAGTAAATGGTGGTCAGCACTAACACGCGACGTGATTAGCTGCCACAGCCGCTGTGTGCTGGCGACCTCCGCTCCCGTTTCACCTCTAGACTGTGGCTCAAAGGAAGACCCATACCCGGGTGTGCGAGTGAAAGAGCGTTTGCGCCAAAGCCTGGAGATGTTTGAGCCATTGCTACGTAGCTGCCTTAGGAGCTGATGGAGCCGCCTCCCCCAACTCTCCATAACATCAGCAACTCCATTCCACTCCTTTAACTTCCTACAGTCCTGTCTTCATCTCCCGGGGTCCCAGTCCTTGGAAGCTGTGGAGTTCTGAAAGCCAGACTATCTCTGGTACTCACTACATTTTAAAATGACATCAAATCCAAGAACACAACCTGAAGTGTGGAAGAAAGGGGCGGGGCTGGTTTAGCAGAGATCTTCACACAACTCTTCTGAAAATGAGCCCCTGCCTCTCCACCCCACTGTGAATCAACAGCCCACAGTGTTGTAAGGAAGAAAAGCGACCACAGAATAGACACTCGGGGTTTATTATGGAATCAGTGGACTCATCCAAAGATGCGTCCTCTGCAGAGATACGACGTGTTTGAACATCAGTGCCCTCCATCTTAGCACGGGTCACTCTGGTCCCCTACTTCCTAAGCAAGAACTTACTCATTCTTCGGACCATTGCTGTTGACAGAGTGTAGCTTCAGCTGTCCAGGACTGACCTTGCAGGCCCTGGACTCACTGCCTCCAAACAAGCAGAACTCAGAACTTCCAGGTGTGGTCTCGCCTCTGACCTCCAAATCTGACCATAGGCCATAGCCAAGAAATGGCAAATGCAACCTATCAAGGGATCTACAGAGAGTGCCTACCACACAGATGACGCATACGGAAATATTGCACTCGGTCTGATCCTGCAAGACTTTAGTACATGGGCTGGGGAGGTGGTTCAGTGAGTAAATAATTTGCCACTCACCATGAGAACCTGAGTTTGGATCCCTAACACCCATGTTACAAGCCAGGTGTGGTGTCGCCTATCGGGCGGTACCAGTGATGGGGGCAGAAAGGCAAATACCAGGAATTCACTGGACAGCCACTCTAGACAACAGGTGAGCTCCAAGTTCATTAAGGGACTGTCTCAAAAAATACCTCTGGCCTGTACAGAACATACATGAGAGAAGCACATGCATATCCAATACCCAACTGAATGTATGCACATACTACACTCAGACTGTGTAAGATGTTGTCATTCTCCCTGGAAGCATAAAACTAACACATAGGAAACAAACAGAAGACTGTCAAGCTCAGGTAAGGTATTTTTTAAAGAAAAGGTGTGTGTGTGTGTGTGTATGTGTGTCTGTGTGTTTGTTTCTGTGTCTGTGTGTGTGTCTGTGTGTATGTTTGTGTGTCTGTGTGTTTCTGTGTGTGTATGTATGTGTGTTTGTGTGTATCTGTGTGTCTGTGTCTGTGTGTGTGTAACACATAGGAAACAAACAGAAGACTGTCAAGCTCTGGTAAGTTATTAAAAAAAGGTGTGTGTGTGTGTCTGTGTGTGTGTATTTCTGTGTGTGTGTCTGTGTGTCTGTATGTGCCCAAGGAGGTCAAAAGAGGGTGTTGTGTCCCCAGGAGCTGGAGTCAAGGCCGGTGTGAGCTTCCTGATGTGTGCTAGAAACTGAATTCAGATGCTCCACAAGTGCAACGAGCCCTTAACTGCTGAGCCATCTCTCCAGCCCCATAAGCTACTATTTACTGAGCATGTACTGTATTCCAGGTGCTTGGAATGCTTAGAACTGGTGATTCAGTCGCTCTGCGATGATGTAAGGGAGCTGGTATCATCATGTTCACATGCCCTACTTACGAAACGCAGCCTCCGAGAGTCTAAGTCACTTGTGTCCAAACAACAGAGTAGGAATTTGGGCCTGTTCTCCTTCTGAGAGCACAGCACTTGAGACTCTCAACTAATCTGACTCGAGAACTAACACCCAGTGAGCTGTAACAGCCAGCAGGCTTTCAGGGGGAGGTGGGAGTCAGCCTAAGTCGTGAGAGAAGCCGTAGGGAGTAGAATGAGGGTGTCGAGCACAGGGGCATGACTGAAGCCTGACTGCTGGGGGACCTGCTGGACAGGAGTTGAGGCGTCGAGGCCAGGCAAAGGAGATTAAGTCAGGAAGGCAGGGTGTGGCAAAATAATACCACACAGCAGCAACTCCCAGCCCAGGCTTCCTACACCAACAGGAGGAAGCTGCTTCAGGGCCTGTCACACTGGGACATGTGTCCTCATCTAGGCGCACTCCCCGTCTGAGGCAGCCTCCAAAGCACTTGCCCCCGACACGGGAAGCCATCTTTCTCCTGCAGGCCTTAGCCACCACCACAGCCTCTCCCCAGCCTGCAGGTGTTCTCTTGTTTTTAGGATTTGTATTGTACATCTGTGCAAATGCCCATGGAGGGTCGGTCTCCTTGGAACTGGAGTTACACACAGCTGGCTGTGAGACATGCCCATCATGGGTAGGGAGACCACACAACTCAGGTCCTCGCATTCAACTGCCGAGCCATCTCTCCAGCCCCAGCCTTCGGTTTTTATTCAGGTAACAATTATTCTGCAAGCTCTAGGCTTTGCCAAAGGAGAGGTAAACCTTTCTGTAAGTAGTCTACATCCTCAGTTGCTAGCCTCTTACTGGATTCCACAGGTATATATATTGGATTCCATAGCGATGCCGCAGGCTGTTTCTGTGTCTGTGGTAATAGGATCACTCACTGCCTACATGAAAAATATTTCTGGAAGCTTTTTGAGATTCACAGATTCACACCAGGTGGCATTTCAGAAGGTACCCTGCTAGGGAAGGCCTACCCTTGAACATAGTGCATGGTCAACACTAAGTAACTATCTGAACTCCTCCCTCAAGAAAATCACCCCATCGAATGGAAATAATTCATCATTGCTGCCAAAACTTGGTGAACACTCCCAGGACGGAAACCTCAAAAAGGCAATAAAAAGTAGTTCTGGCTACAGGGGAAAATAAGCCCCAAAGGAGCACTTTGCAAACACTGAAAACCAGACGCGTAAATGCGCGATCAGACGCTACCGGCGCATCTCGAGAAGAGCTCAGGGAACCCGAAATGGAGTCAAAAGGCCGGCTAGTTTCCCAGAAAAGAGTCCCTTTAAGAAAAGATCGGACCAGCTGGCTGCAATACAGCGCCTAGAGATTTCCTGGCTCGCGTCCTGGCCCCGCCCCCCAGCCTCCGGCCTCAGCAACGCGTGACATCATAAGGGGAGGACGCCGCCGATTGGCTGGGTGATGCAGCTAGGTCAAGTCCAGTCGGAGGAAAGAAGTTTGTCTCCATGTGGAAACCATGTGTCTAGTGCTGGGAGGGGGGAGGAGGAGGAGGCGGAGAAACTGAGATCAAGTGATTACAGGGGAACTCGCTGAAATGAAGGCGGGGAGGTTGCGCACCTGAACCCGCCAGCCATGCCCTTTGCAGTAGTGACCTAAAAAAAAAAAAAAGAAAAGAAAAAAAAAAAGAAAAAGAAAAAAGAAAGAAAAAGACTCACAACAAACAAAACCTGGGCACCCAACCCCATCACGATAACTACAAAGCACAGGTGGGGAGGGTCTGTACTTCCTCCCAAAAGCCAGGGGCCAGGGAAATGCTGGAATCCTATCGGAACGCCCAGATTCTCCTCCGCCCCCCCCCGCCCCCCAGCAACTGAATGATGTCAGCGTTTCGGAAAAGCAGAGCTCGGGAGCAAAACAAGCCCCGCGCTGCGCGCGGAGCGACCCGCAGTGCCCGAGCCCGGCGCACGCACGACCCGCCCCCCGACTCGCGTTATTGCTGTGCACACGCGGACCGCCGTGACGCGCGGGCATTGTGTGCAGCGAGCAGAAAACAACGGCGAGCGCCGGCTGCGCCGGGAAGCGCCCCCCAAATAAAGCGAGGCAGATGTGGGGGGCCCGGCGTTTGCCGTGCTTGGGCGGGGGGGGGGACGACGACGACGACCCTGGCCGCGCGGGGGAGGAGGAGAGCGGAGCGGATATAAAGTGGGCAGAGTGGACCGCTTCCGTGAGAAGGGTCTGGGGGCCCGGCGAGGGTCTCCCCTCTAACCCCCCACCCCACGCCGCCGCCTACGCGAGCTGTCGCGGGAGGGAGCGAGGGGCCTGGAGCTGAGTCCCCGCGGCCGAGCCAGGCACGGCGCAGCGCCCCACGCTCTCGGGGAAATCTGGGGGCTGTTGGCATCACGTCATTCCGAGCCAAGCAGCAGCGGCGAAAAGACGCGAGAGCGCTAAAAATACTCCCGCGGGGAGCCGGCCGGAGGAGGAGGAGGAAGGGGGGCGCTGCCTGCGGGCCGAGGGGCCGATTACGCACATGAAGTTGACTTTGACTGGGGTGCAGAGGCTCCCGAGCCCCTCTCCAGCGCCGGTGGGCTGGCAGAGCGGACACCCCCGGGAGAGGGGCTGGCAGGAAAGCCCCTTGACTGTACCAGCCTCGGGAGCCCTGGCTCGGCCACCACGGGCCCGCCCCGCGCGGGGCAGCCCAGCCGGGCGCGCCCGGCTCTCTGCTTACGTGACTGCTGGCCACGCCGGAGCCCCGACACGGGGTAAACAAGGAGGTGGAGGCGGCCAGGGCGGGGACAGGGGGGGGTAGCTCTCCGATTGTTTGCGGGCATGAAGTGGGAGGGGGGACACGAGACGCTGGGGAAACCTCTGGCCACCTAATATTATATCTCATTGCGCGAGGGGGGGGGACGGCGAGGAGGCTCGCCGGGCATTGCCAAGGTGCCCTCTTTGGGTGCACCCCCCGAGTTAGAGTCGGCGCCACGGGACAGACTCCAGAAACAGGGGAACCGGGAGGGGGACGGCTAGAGAAATCGCGCCCCTCCCCCTGCAACAAAAGCAAACACCAAACAAAACCACCTCTTCGCCCAGCTCCCTACTAACCGGGGCTTTTCAGAAACTATTCTCCAGACGAATGCACCCCTCACACACACACACACACACACACACACACACACACACACACACCAATGAATAAATCGCTCCGCGGCTCGGCGACGCAGCCTGACTGCGATGTGCCTCTCGGCAAGCCAGGCAGGCACTCGGAGCAGCCAAGAGGCGACAAGAGAAAGAGAAGATCGCACCACCGACCTCCCGACACAGAGCCTTGTTTTGGTCGTGCCCAGTCCCCACAATTGCGCTGCCAACACTCGGTTACTGTAACCTTAAAGGCCCCGGCGTATTTGGTGAAGGTGTTTTTGTGTTTTGATGGTTGTTGTTGGTGGTGTGGGGGGGGTGGTCTTGCAAGATCTGACACGTTGCAATCGGCTCTCTCGCTTTCTCATTGATCTTCCTACTTGTTCTGGCAGATTACACATCTCGGTTTTTCTCCCCTCTGTGAGTCGCCCCCCCCGCCCGGTCCTTCCTTCTCACAGCTATTATTCTGAGGACCGGGCTGGTGCTGGAGACGCAGCCCAGCACACGCGTGCCCCCCTTCGGGTGCTAAGTCGAATGCCTGGCGAGAGCTGGGGGCCCCCGACTGGCAGGGACAAAAACGAAACAAATACAGAGAGGAAGCCCGGGCCCGGGTGGGTTCCTAGCATCGGCCTCCACCTGGGGGGGGGGGCACGGTACCCAATGAGGCGTTTGCCTTGCTCGCCCTGTGCGTCTCAGAAAATAAAAACGTACACAACAGCCCACACCCCCTTCCCCAACTATTGTTTCTGTGGAATCCTAAAGTTTGCTTTTGGCCACGTCCCCCTCGCCAAGTCTCCCCACACCCAGCGCGTTCTGGACCGCAGGCGCTGCCCGGCTCCACCGGCCTGTGTCTTGGGGGGGGGGGGACCAGAGGCCGTGGCATCCCAGGGCCAAGGAGGCACCGGGGAACTGTGTCCCCAGACACGGCGGCCAGAGCCCAGCTCTGCTGCGGGAAGGGAGGAAAACCGACGAGTAGGCAGGAGGAAGAGCCGGAGCCAGGGCCCACGGCGTGCAGAGCTGTTTTCGGCGGTGGTTGTTATTGTTGTAATGTGTGTCTGCGTTTTCTTTCTGGAAGCCCCGAGCTCTGCTTACCGTTTCCAACTTTCAGCTTCTAATCCCCACCCAACCCTGGAAACGAGCGACAAAAAAAAAAAAAAAGACAAAAAACAAAAACAAAACAACACTTGTCTGCCCGAGAAGGGTAGGGAAAGAAAAAGGGGGGAGAAAGGCGACCTCGGAGGGACGAGCTCGCAGCCTGGCAGCTC